TCTCACTCTTCAAAGACAGGGTAAAAAGTCAAAAATGCTTATGGTAGGACAATGGTAAGAAACTCAAAAAAAAAAAAAGATGTTTGCAAGTAAAAGCCCTCAAAGATTTAATTGATCATAATTTGTAATCAAGAGTACAAGTGAAAAGAAATGAATCCAACAAAGTAATCAAGGACATCAATTCTAATGATCCACCATCATTAGGACTTCTGAGAGGGAAAAGGTTCAGAAAAATGAGCTCATCATGGTGGTTCAAAAAGGAAGTGGTACATAGTGATAAGACTATAAAGCTGAGGATATCTCAAGGCAAGGGGCTCTTTTCGCAACAAATGATCATTCCATAAGAAGGAAACGACTCCCAACCGAAGTAAAGAATGAAAATATATATACACTTGTGCAATAGATTTCCAACGTCATTGAAAAGAATCATACACTTGTGCAATAGATTTCCAGGGTCATCTATGAGAAATAGATATTCCAGCTTTGGCATCCGAACCATTCTGGACATCTGGTGCAGCACAAACTTACTCTTCACCAACCTATGCCGCAATAAACTAGGTTCAAATGGGAACTGCCAAAGCCACTTACCCATCAAAAAAAGGTTTAGGACACTAGATTCCTCGACACCTGATTCCTCCTCATAAAGGCAACATACTTCCCACTTAACAAGATGATCCCTTGCGTCCTCACCCATACCACACCAAAGAAAGTCTCTCATGACCATTGTCATTATAATTTTACAAGATTTAAATCCTATGATTCAATTCGATTAAGTGAAAAAATTACCTGAATTATATCGTTAAATTGCAATTCATCATCAATCTTAAGCAAATATTAAGAATAAAGAGCCAATCACATGATTCAATTCAATTTATGTGATTCAGTCAATTTTGGTCAACACTAAATCCAATTAAATATTAGATTATTTACGTTTATTAGCTATTAAGTACAATTTTGAGGATGATATATGAATTATTTTTAGTTACTTTGAAAAACAAATTATACTCATGGAAGAATATCATACATGTTTGAACAAATTTGCTTTGAGAAACAAGTACTTTTTACTCATTTATAATACATGTCTAAATTCCTTAAAAACTTTTATTTTTAATTACTTTAGTTCACACAATATATATATAAATAACAGTAGTTTTTGATTAATAAACTATATTTGAATCTTATGATTCAATTCAATATACAATTCTCATCTAAATTTTGGATTCTAAATATTTAATTCAAATCTCAATTTAGCAACTGTAGAGAATTATTAGTTTTTTCATTCTATTTTTTTATTATTATTCGGGTAAAGGAAATCTCCAGCATGTTGGGAGATGTGTGATTCCATTTTTTTTCTTATTACACCTGACTATACAGCTGAAAAAATATAGTTGTAATCTCTTTATAAATCAACACCATTTGGTGCCCGTAAATGTATGAAAAAGAAGGGAAATTTCAGGAAATTATCTTCATGGTATCAGAGCTCTCCTAATCCATATCCTTTATCCCGAGCGAGCCAGAGTGAAAAATGGCCATGGAGAAACCTCATCCTCTCCGCCCGATATTTCTTCAGGCCTCTATCTTCCTTTGTCCCTCAACCACAGTCCGGTTGAGCAGTCTTCCTCATTCATCACTGCTCATAGATTGAATGGGAATAACTATCTTCAATGGTCGTCGTCCGTACAGATATTCATCCGTGGAAAGGGCCGTGACGAATACATTACGGGGGCTGTAGCACAGCCTCCTGCTGATGACCCAAATGCCCGAGTATGGAGCATAGAGAACAGCCTCGTGATGTCGTGGTTATTGAACTCGATGGCACCTAAAATCAGGGAGAACTTTCTCCTCTACAACACCGCATAAGAAATCTGGGAGTCGTCGCGAGAGTTTTATTCCAACAAGGACAACACCTCTGATATCTTTGAGATTGAATCGACCCTCCACGATTTGCGACAAGGAGAGCTGACTATAACTCAATTTTACAATGCTTTGTCTCGTAGCTGACAGCAGCTTGATACGTTTGAGGAACACCACTAGAGCTGCCCAGATGACGCGAAGGAGTTTAAAGCTATCACCGAACGTAAGAGAATCTTCAAATTTTTGTTAGGTCTGAACAGGTATCTCGATGATGTTTGCGGACGTGTCTTGGGCATGAAACCACTTCCGAGTATTCATGAAGTATTTTCCGAAATAAGACAGAAAGAAAGCAGGAAGAAAGTGATGATGGGTGAAGTGCAGAGCTCACTGTCGACGACCGAAAAACACCTCTGCACTCACGACTCGGGTTGACGTACGCGGAAAGAAAGGGCGACCTTGGTGCGATTTCTGCAAGAAAATTGGCTATGTGCGTGAAAAATGCTAGAGGTTACATGGAAAGCCCGCTGATCGAAGGCCAGTGAAGCACGAAAAGCTTGATGAGCACCAAGGCAATGCTGTGATGATATCAACTGCAGAGGATGTGCCACGGAATGCTATAGAGAAAAGCCCATTCAGCCCTGAGCAGATTGAGGCCCTTCAGCAAATATTTTCTCCAAAAGTTAATCTAGCTAATGTAACCGTGGCCCACAAAGGTAAGAATCCTGATGTTTGTGGTTTTACAGCTTGCTCAACAAGTGGACAGACATAGATCATTGACTCCGGGGCATCAGACCATATGACTGGTAATGTATCCTTATTCCAAAATTACAGTGTAATGAATACTTCACAATTAAAATTGTTGATGGGTCAATCTCCCAAATAGTTAGACACGGCTCTATTATGTTGTCACCATACTTGACTTTACGATCTGTCTTATATGTCCCAAAATTAGACTGCAATTTGTTATCAATGAGCAAGCTTTCCAGAGATCAGAATTGTATGGTTAACTTTGTTTCCAACATGTGTGAATTTTAGGACTTGAACTTGGAGAAGACGATTGGCAGTGCTAAGATGATTTCGGGACTATATCTCTTTCAAGCTGAACCTTCTGGAAGACAATCTCGAAAATAGGTGTGCAACTTCAGTTTCTGTAAGTTGGTCCAATAATGACAGTGATATCTTGTTATGGCATTATCGTGTAGGACACCCCTAATTTCTTGTATCTACGAAAAATGTTTCCCTCTTTGTTTAAAAATAAAAATCCTGTGTTATTTCAATGTGAAGTTTGTCAGTTTTCTAAACATGTTCGAATCTCTTTTCCGAGTCTTCCTTATAAATTCTCAAAACCATTTGCATTGATTCACAGTGATGTCTGGGGATCTTTCAAGGTCACCAATGTATCCAGAACTAAGTGGTTTATATCCTTTATTGATGATCATAATAGAATTATTTGGATTTTCCTCATAAAAGAAAAGTCGGAAATTGCAACTATATTCAAAAAATTCAATACAATGATCCAAAACCAGTTTCATACCACTATACAAGTATTGAAATATGATAATGCATGCAAGTATTTTGAAACCATCCTTGGAAAATATCTTGTAGAACATGGGATTATTCACCAAAGTTCTTGTGTTTACGCCCCTCAGCAAAATGGTATTACCGAAAGAAAAAACAGGCATATTCTTGAAGTGACCCGATCACTTATGTTTGCTACCCATGTTCCTAATATGTTTGGGGTGAAGCCATACTCACCGCCACTTATTTGATAAATCGAATGTCTTCCCGAACTTTATAATTTCAAACACCTCATGAACTTCTTTCAAAAGCATTTCCTGATTCTCATATTTTGAACACCATACCTTTTAAGGTCTTTAGATGTACAGCTTTTATTCACATACACTCCCATCTTAGAGGAAAACTCGACCCAAGGGCACTGAAATTCATCTTTGTTGGATACTCCTGTAATAAAAAAAGATACAAATTGTTTTTTCCAGATGCCTGTCAATTTTACAACACAATTGATGTAACCTTTTTTGAAAACCAACTCTTTTACCCCACTATTGATATTCAGGGGGAGGAACATACTCAGGAATATCAATTGTGGGATGATACACCACCACTCTACCCACAGCTCTCACAACCTTCATCCACACTTGAATCTGATCAAGGAAACACCAATTTAAGCACACCACTCACAAGAACTGAAAGTGCATTACCTACAGTTAATAAGTTACGTGTCTATACTAGAAGGAACAAATCCCGAGAAGAAAAAGTGCTGTAGTCAACCAAGCCCTACCATGATTTGAATTCAGCTCCAACTGTCCAAAAGTCAACAGGTAATGAGATCTCTATCACTAGCTCTACTACTGACATTAATCTACCTGTTATTTTGAGGAAAGGTACTCGGACGTGTACTAGACATCCTATTCAAGATTTTGTCTCATTTGGAAACTTATCTTCTAAGTGTCATGCATTTGTAAGCAAGATAGACAGTAGTCCTCCAGAACTGAGAACAATTGATGAAGCCCTTCAGCTGCCATAATGGAGGGCAGCCATTCAAGAAGAAATTGAAGCAATTGAGAAAAATGGAAATGGGAGTTGACTGAACTACCTCCAAGGAAATATAAGGTTGGATGCAAATGGGTGTTTACCATTAAATATAATCCAGATGTGAGTGTGAATCAGTACAAAGCTTGCCTTGTAGCCAAAGGCTTTACCAAATCATATGGGATAGACTACCAGGAGACCTTCGATCCAGTTGCCAAACATAACACAATACGGGTACTGCTCTCTCTTGCCTCGAATCTTGATTGGTCTCTTCATCAATTAGATGTAAAGAATGCCTTCCTAAATGGTGATCTAGAAGAAAAAATATACATGGATATCCCACCAGGTATTGAAGTTGCCGACAGTATCCGTAAGGTGTACGAACTTAATTAATCACTCTACGGACTTAAGCAATCCACAAGGGCTTGGTTCGAGAGATTCACAAAAGCAGTATAGCGAGTTGGATATGAGCAATGCCAGTCAGATCATACCTTATTTATTAAGCATAGTATCTCGGGTAAGAAATCAATTTTGATTGTTTATATTGATGACATCATTCTCACAAGGGATCACATCGAGGAGATTCAGAAACTTAAGAAATTTCTAGCCAAGGAATTTGAAATTAAAGATCTTGAAACACTCAAGTATTTCTTGGGTA